TAGCGCAGTGGCAGTGTGGGCTTGGCATATGTCAGGCCCTGGGTTCTAGTTCCAGCACCAGAAAGTGAAATCCAACATATAAAGCCACTGGACTCTTGTCCACAGACACCCAGATATATAAAGTAATCATGACTTTTGAACAAAATGCTGAACATTGTTTTCACTTACACAGACTTTCACAGCCCCAGGAAAGACCTCTTTCAAACTAATCAGAGGCAAGCTCCTAGGGAGGAACTAAGCATGATTCAGCACATTTAAAAAAGGATTTATACCCATTCTTAGAAGGACAACCAGAGGAAACACCATCAGAGGGCTAAACAATGGTATCTGCTCGCCCTTTGATCTCAATTGAAGAACACTATGTCCAGCTTTTTGTTGAAATACCACTGAATTTCACATTTAAAGCTCTTTAGAACATCTACCATTTCTTGGGACCACACTCTTTCGAATTCTCTGAGCCACTTTTGCTAGCAGTAACTTACAGTCATGGATTTATTTTCTGCTAACAAAAAATCTTCATAAATACAGGCAGAGCCAATGAAAAATCATAATACTGATCCTCTGTTTATGAGAGAAAGACAGAAGAGTGTCTCTGGTTACAAATACTAGTAGGGAGTATTCCATCTTTCAACTAATTTATGTTTCCCAAGGGTAATTTTGTTGAGGAGGTTGCCAGTATTTTCAGTACAATACGTTTCTTGTTTCTTGTACTAACACTTACTGATTCCTTTTCTGAGTATATTTTGAGTTTTTACTTCATTTAATCCTAGCATCTAGAAATCAACACCTTATTAATTCAATATAAGTAAGTCTGAAGTGCAGAGATTTAAAGGAATTTATTTTCTACTCTCACATGTAACGGTAGTACCAATTAATGTGTCTGTGGATAACTGGTTTAAAAAGAGCTCTATTGGCTAGGTGTGATGGTGCATGTCTGTAATCTCAGCACTCAGGAAACCAAAGCAGGTGGGTCTCCATGAAATCAAGGAGAGCCTGGTCTACAATAGTGACTTCCAAACAAGCTGGGACTACAGGGAGACCCTGTCTCTCAAAAAAAGTCTATTAATAAAGCATTGTGACTTAGATGAAATACCTCAGTCAATGTTCTAAACAGCCTCAAACATTTTACTAAATAAAAGTCAGGCACACCATTTCCAAAGAATCTGAGCTTGCAGATTAGTGGGAATTTTAAATGTGGGTTATTGTTTATATTTTCATCAATGCAGTCTTTTGAGTGCTTCTGTATGCTCAACATTATACTAGGTTACATGTGGATTAGTGTGCTATCAGCCTCCGGAGGCCAACATCCTAGACAGTACAATGTACAATGAGTAAGCAAAAAAAAAAAAAAAAAAAAAAATTAAAAAAAAAAAACTCCATGTGATCAGCACAAGGAAGGAAGAGGGCAGGATACTCTGATGATGAAGGGGAGAAGAGAGAGGAGTTAGAAGGTGTCTCTAGACGGGTGGATTTTTAACCTAAGACCTGAAGGGTATTTCAGGCTATTTCTCCAAGGTCACCAACTTGACAGGCTTGCTTACTAGGCTGCCAAGACATTTCTAACAGTAGCAAACAAATACCAAACGGCATCTGTAGCCCTGGTTTGATGCACGTTCACAGACTCACCTGGGCACCCTGCAAACCAGCCTCATTGGCAGCAGGCAGGTGGCCCTTCAAGTCCCAGGCTGTTCCCTCAGACAGGGTTTTAAACAGTCAACATCATCAACAATGAACTGGTCAAATGACTCTGTTTGGGCTATGAGAGATTCATCCTGTTGATTCATACTTCCTGATAGTTGGGCTGGCTGACAGAACTCAGGGTGTTTCAAATGTATTTCATGAGCAAATTATTCCTCTAGTCCCAGGGAAGAAGCATGCTTACAAAGATGCAACACTTTCCCTTACCCTTCCACTGTGTAACAGCCCAGGAGATGTTCAAGCACAGCAATGTAAGACTTATCTTTCTGTAGGTCCTTTAAGAGATGAGTCATGGGATATACCAGTTAACATGACTTTGACACCAATTAGGAAAGCTGTGGAATTCTTCCAACATCCTTAGAGAATTCACATTGCTGTATAATTGCTTTCTTCAAATGAACTCTCTTTCTTAAGTTCACAGCCATGGTTATCAGATTTTTATCACATTCTAGCCTCTCACTGTGAAATCTGTCTTTCCCACTGCTAAATGAATTGAGCTTAATAGAACTGCTTGACTGGCAGGTGGCATGGCATGCAGCTTGCATTCTACTTACCTAGAAGAGGTTGTTTTTCATTTTCCCCTTTACCCATATGGAGTCCAGAACTGGACCTACAGAAGCTGTAAACTGTAGAAAGCCCACCATGAGCTATAAGGGGCTTGGGACAGAGTTACTGCCCCCCAAGTATCTTTCGATTTCATGTCAGCATGTCTCTAGGACTGCATGCACTGCTGGTGTGTTCCCTTGGAACTTTTCAATCTTTAAATACCCTTTATAAAAAATCAAGTCAGGCGTGGTAATGTGCACCTTTAATTCCAGTACTTGAGAGGTTGAGGTAGGAAGATTTCAAGTTCGCATTGCTTGGGCTACATAGCATAAGCCTATCTCAAAAAGGAAAGAAGGAAGGAATGGAAGGGAAGGAGGGAGAAGGGGGGAGGGTAAAGAAGAAAAGAGGGGGATGGAAAGATCCCTAGGGAGATGTTCTGTTAAGCCATTACCTGAACAAAATTGCTTGCCAAGTAGCTTCAGACAGTAGGTGCAGAAGCTGTGTTCAAGGAAAGGGGAATGTGGACGTCACTACACAAAACAAGCATCATCATATTTTACAAATTTACCTCAGGCCAGCTCTTGAAATTTCAATTACCATTTAAAACAATAGTTTCCAAACCCTGGAATCATGGGGGTGGGGCTTGAAAAAATACTGAGCTCTGCCTGGAATCTCCACATTCTGAACTGAAATGGAACACCGCCAGGGAGGGCATCTGGATTCTTAACAGGCCCTGGTTATTCTACTGGGCCTGGTTTCTCATCTCTTACTGGGATGAATTAATGGTTTCCTTCAGACATCAGGATCTTTTGTGCCAGAGGCCCGCTTCATCAGGACAGCACATTACAACAAAAACAAACAAACAAAAACAAAAACAGTAAGAAACTTTGAAAAGAAAAGTTCCCTAAGCCCACCCACAAGATTCTGAGATGTCTGCGGTCTGGGTGAGAAGCAGCCCTAGCATGGATCCTTAGTCCTTTATATACCGGAAGTGATGCTGAGTACGGACAGGGCTGAGACCCACGGTGCTTTCCCAAGAACTGTAACAAATCTCTGTGGAGGAAGCTACTTTACCTTAAGGCTACCTACCACCCAAAGGCAATAAAACATGTCTACTAAAGCAGTCAGGAAACTTGGGGGACTATGGAGGGAGAGAACAATGGATGGAATTTATTAAATCAAAGGAGGTAGACAAGTTAGAATAAGGAACAGCCTTGGTCTTCCCCTCCCACCACCACCAAACTTTATTGACTGCAAAAGATAGTTTCCTTAGAATGCTTCGGGTGGTTCAACCTTGAATTTGATTCCAATAGATTGTGAAAATTCTTATCCAATCAGATCCCCTGGCAGAGCAAGTAGCCAGATTGACTGGCCCTGAGCCTCCACTCCCTGTGAGATTCTGTTTCGTGAAGTTCCCAGGATTTCAGCTCTGCTTGGATGCCAGTCTTTCTGCCTCCACACCCTCCTGTGTTGCCTGATTCCTACCCTCAGTTCGTTTTCCCTCTGCACACCCCCCTCCATCTCAGCGGAGCTGAGAATCATAGATACACTGGCAGAGAAATAACCCAGATACTTTACACTACTATCATTCCTGTAAATTGTGCCTTTAAAATGACGGGCATCTCGGACTGGTCTTGGAGATCTCTGGGCTGCTTTGGCAAGAGCACGCTAGCCCAGCCTGGGGCCTGGACTCAACCAAAAGTCTCTACGGGCACAGGAAGTCCGCGGAGACCCACCCCACGAGCGGCTGCATCCACTCCGGGCGTGGCTACTAGAGCACCAGGTCTAGTAGCTGGGGACCTGCCTCTCTTAGTGTCTGGTCTATGCTAAACTGAGTCAGCTTATGAATGAAGAATAGCGCGAATCGCAGACACTTCCTTCTACACTTCTCCGCTTACAGATGAGAAAACAGGGGGGTTGGAGGGGAAGGAGATGTGACTCTGTCCGAGTTTGCCACAGAACATTTGTGGCAGAGCCCAATTTAGCCGCCCTCGATTTTCCATTCTGTTGCCTGGCAACGGATTCAGTGGAGCTCAGCGGCCAACCCCGGCCCATACCCTACACCCTTTCTCTGCCCCAGCAGCTTGGGCAGAATTGCTTAAAGGGTCAGCCTTTTGGGACAATGCTCAAGGGCATGAGGGCGCGGGCAACTGAGTGGATTAGCCCAATTGCTCTGGGATCTCGCCCTACACAGGCACAAGCACTAAAATTTGGTTGGGACTGGCGTACCCTCCCTGGTCCTTTTGGGATCTTTCTCAGCCACCAAAGCCCTTTTCCCCTAATACCATTTGAGTTTTCTTACAACACCCACATCAGGTTCTCAAAGTTCTCAACTACTGTCGAATTCCCTGGAAGCCATCACGGTGGGTAACTGGCACTCCCTGTGTCCAAGGAGCCAAAGAAGACAGTTCAGAAGGGAAAGAGTGTTGAGGGGCTCTACCCTTCCTAGGATGGCCACACTCGGGACAGAATCGAGTGAACGTGGCCGGAGCTGGACAGGAATGAAAATACCGAGAGCGTGCTCCAAGCCAGGGGTGAAGACACACCCGCCGCGGGCAGCGCTCTGCGGGTCTGGGTACCCCGGCGCTCCCCAGCCCGCCCAGCCTGCGCCCTCAGCAGCGAGCGCACTTGTTGCCCACCGCTGCGCAGGTGGCAGGAGCGCAAGTTGTTTCCGCATCCCTGCCTAGCGCACTCCTCCATCGCTCCCCACACCCTGAACCCAGGAGACTGCATGGGACGCTACCCCGGATCCTTACCTAGGTTCACAAAGCTCATGACCATGTCGGCGTCGTTGAGGAAGGCGCTGTCCTGCGCGCTGGTCAGTGGGGATGCGCCGCCGGGTCCCGGGGCCAAAAGGCTCTTTCGGTTCAGGGGGTGTGCGGTTCCCGGAGACGGCTGCCGGAGCTGGGGCGAGCTGACCCCTCCGTGGGGCCCAGGCTGCCGCCTGTCCCCGTCGGACACTCCATCCTCTTCATCGTCGTTGGACAGGGCGTTGTAGAGATCCAGCATGAAGAGCGGCGCGGACTTCAGCCGCCCCGGAGGGGGCTCCTCGCGGGCTGTCTGCTGCTGCGGGAGTACCGGGGTCTGCGGCAGCTGGAGGCCGTGCAGGGGTCGCGGCCGATGCGGGAGTCCCAGCACCGACAGGATCTCCTTCTGCATCTCCCGCTTCTCGTGCGTCTTGAGCCGCCGGTAGAGGAAGCCCGAAGACTGCGGCGGCGGCTGCTCCGCGCCAACCGGGTTCCCGCCGCCTCCCGGCAGCTGCCCCCCGGCGGCGGCCGCGGCCACAGGCAGGGGGTACCGGAGCGGCGGGGGCCCGCAGCTGCACAGCAGCCCCCACCACCAGCACAGCCACTGCGCCCTGCGCCCCAGCCCGGGCATCGCCGGCCGGCCGGGCTGCCCCCGCGAGGCGTGGAGCGGCGGAGCGAGGCCGGAGCGCGGCCGCTGTGGCCCTTGGCGTGGACAGCCCCCGCCACCTCTCGGCGGGCTCGCTTCCCCTTCCTGGTTCTCAGTCCTTATCTCTCATGGTCGTCCGCTGCGCCCCCAGTCGCGCAGGCGGGAGGGGAGGCGAAGGGAGCCCCACACCAGGTGAGTCCGAGGCAGGACAGCGCTGCAACCGGCGTCCCGGGGCGGGTCACCGCGCGGTCACTCGGTGTCCGCACACGTGCTGCTCCCCGGCGCCCAAGCGGGATGCTGGGACTGGAGAGGACCGCGGGAGCGCCGCTCAGGAGCTGGAGGCGACGCCGGGCATCATCCCCGCACACGCCCCTCCCAGCTTCTCGGGACACGCGTGAAGTTGACCGCGCCACTGGGCCCGGGCTGTGGCGGCCGCGCGTCCTGAAATGCCAGTCTTCTCCGCCAGCCGTAACTTCCTCCTCGCCTAGAAACTCCGCGCCCCTGAGCCCCCCGGGCACCGCCGCTCCGGCTCCGGACCTCCGCGCGCCTCCTCGGGCGGGGGCGGCCCGACTCTCGCTTTCCGTTCCCCGCTCGCTCGGGCGCCCCGGGGACCCTGCGGCCGGAGGGGATGGCAGGGAATCCGGACCGCGGCGCCGAGCGGTAGCTGCGACGTCCTCTCCGGAATTCGCAGTCTCCCGCCTCTGCGAGCTGCGCTCCCGGCTGCGGCCAACGTGGGCTTTCTGCTGCGCGTCTCGCTCAGGTACCGCACTCCAGCCTCCGCGACGCCCCGCCCTCCTCAGTAACCGACAGCCTGGCAGCCAATGGAAATTCGATTCTTGCATGCTATTTACTTAGATCCGCCTCCTTCTTTCACCCTCCCCTCCCCAGAGGCGTCGCCTCTGCAGAGCGTAGGGTTTTTTAGCCCAGAAAATTCTTGGAGGCACCAGAAGTTGCTGGGAGGCAAAGAAGTCATTGCTAGGAAGAAAGATCTGATCAAGGCTCCAGTCTAAATCTTTTTCTGTTACTACCACGTCAAAGTTGTGTTAAGTGAAAGTAAACACAGCTATTGACTCCATACTGGCTTAATTAAGGGGGAAAAAAATGACAGTTTTCTCCTTCCCTCGGTAGTTTCTCTTATTGACGAAATGTAAGCGGTTAGCGGACACGTGGCTTTCAAAGGTTGCTACTGGTAAGTTAAGACTCACCTGCGAGGAAGCTGTTCACACTGGCTGCAGAGATCAGATCAGATCAGAATCCCAAAGGTTTCCAGTCCAGCATTTTGACTTACCTCTTCATTTGGGCTGCATTTGGCTTCTTAAACTGGTACTCAAATGAGAGTCCAATATTGCAAATATTACCAGGAAAACCATCCATGAATTCTTGTTAATCTCTCGCTGCAGCTTGTCAGTTGACATCATGATTTAACGTATTGAAATACAATATAATTTATGTGGTGCAGGGCAAATGTGGAGAGAAGAGGGTGGTAAGGATAATTACAGTTAAGGTAGAGGCCTGGCACGTACCTAAATGGTCAGGATAATAAGCAGGACCCTGAAAAACAGGTTTCCATGAACCTTAGACAAGATAGAGCCACTATCAGCATCACCATTTGTGAATAAAGACAAAAGTTCATTTCCCTGTCCATTACCCGAATGCCCACTCATTGGTGGCTCTTAGAAGCAAATCCACCTTGAGCATTAGATCCTTTTACCTGGTGAGAGCATAAGGATTAGAAAATGACAACTTCAATTTGCTGGTTTGGCAGTCTTAGTTCACATGGTCCTGGGCATTTGTGTCAGTGATATTTGATCTGGGAAACCAGGCCCCTGAGAATTCAAAACCCTTCAGCATTTCCCCATTCCTTTTATCTGGGACATGGCACAAGCATAAAACCATTGCTGTGCTGACCAAGAAGCCACAAGCTTCACTCAGAAGACCTGAAATCACAGAAACATGTAGGCTTCCTGCCAAGGGTCTCCTCCTTACACAAACTCAGCCACACCTTTTTTATAAGACTTTTGGTGACACACGTGGGAATAAAAGCAACTCCAAGTTATAAAGGCACTGAAGAAAACATTGAAAAACTGCAAAACAAAACAAACAAAAATACCGTGAGGACCCTCCAACACACCATAGGGCTGTGCCATTTCAGATGCCTCTATGGAGATAAGCCTAGTGAAGAACAGGTACCTGGGATTTCACTACTGGCCCCAGTTTTGAGTGACCCATGTGATTTGAGTCTGAAATAACAGCAAAGCATCATGGCCTAAACTCCTCAGCAGGTGTCATGAGCTCCCCACCCCTACCAAGACAGATTCGGTTCCTATCGCCTATTGAACAGTATGAGAATAAGGCCTGTGTTTAGGGTGCTTTCGGGGGTGAGCCTGAAGACATACCTTTTCATTAAGAGCCAGTGGAAGCCTGAAAATAGACACAGAGTCACAGTGGTCACAAGGACAGAGATGTCCTACTGAGGGTCACATACCTATCATGTGCTCTCAACTTTTGTCGAGTGTCATATTTACAGGAAACGTGCAGGCAAGCACTTGGGTTCCCTGCGGTCCAAAAGTAGCGGCAAAGAGGGTACAATTCTAAGAGTTCAATGGCCTCAAAACTGGGATCACAGCTTCTCTATGTCAAATGGAACTCATCCACTCCCAGCTTTTCTGACCCCTCCCACCAGAAACCCCAATGTGGCCCCGAGGTCACATATTGGCGGTTTAGACAGAGTTCATATGTGATTCAAGAGGATGCATAGAATGGAGTAGAAGGGAGAAGAGCAGAGAGGCTTCATTCACTGTCAAGTGTGAAGGCAAGTGGAAAATCAAAGGTCACTTCGCCCCCTGCAGGACACCAAAATATTACCACCCCCTTCCTCCATAAGCCAGGACAAGCTTCATTAAGTTCTCTGTATGCATCTCTCAAACATCTGGGGGGAAAGAGGAATTCACTCAAGAAGCCAGACGTAGAAGCCAACCCATAGCAAACATCTGGTTGCTTGGCTGACATTTCATGCAGATGGCCTCAGTTTCTGGAAATAGGTTGCCTGTCCCACCCATGCCCCACTTCATGAAGAAGTGAAGAATCCTCACCGTAAAGCACAGACAGATTTGTTCCATGCCTTCAGTGATCCTAGGGACAGGGTGGGAATCCTGTACCCACATGCTCTTTAAGGCACTCACACAGCAAAATCCTAAAAATGAGTCTCTTTTTTCCTCATATATTCTGGAAGGTTACACATTTATAACACACTTGACTCAATAATTTGTTTTGAAAAATACTGCTTATTAATTTAATATGTTAAATGCTCTGTACTCAGTACGTCCTTGTGAACTATCTTGTATGCGACACACCACAAGTGCAGTCTTTAATTTTGTATTAAATCATACATTGGTCCCATTCAACTGACTTTCCTAAAGCTCTAAGTTGTTGCTTTTAGAATTAAACATGAAAGTCCTATAAACTATGAGGCTGTGGTGCTTAAAAGCCTGAGTTCTGCCCTCCTTGAATCCTTGAGATGCTCGCTTGAAATACTAAGCTTTCATCATTATAATTAGCACAAGGTTGGAGTAGTTTAACATTAATTCCAAAATATAAGAATTTGCTCATATTTTAAAAATACCAGTCTGGGATTAAGCAAAAAGGAACTATGTTAAGTAAATGTTTGCAGAGCACAAGAAATGAACATTTGAGTGTTAAATAAATATTGCTTCTGAAAGCTACACCTGTAAGGCGAACTCCAAAATACGTGTCTCATCCAAAAGTCTGTGGTCACATGTATATTCCCTCACCTTCTCCCCTCACTGTCTATTCAAAAATGCTGGGCATTCACACTTCAAAATGTCATTCAGGCCATCATATTTTCCTACTCATGGAGGACATCTGGTGGCAAAGTGAAAAACTAATACATAAATCTGTTTCCAGAGGGTTTTTTTTTTTCCACACTGTAACCCAAATAGCAAATCTGTTACTTGTGTGGGTTTCCACCTTTTGACACACCCTTAGCTCTCATGATGCTAGGACTCAAATTAGCCACATAATATTAAACAACAAAGTATCCCAATTAAGTCATTTCTGAATTTTTCACCACCTAGTTGACCTGCATAGATGAAATCACTTTTTGTTGTTGCTGAGCAAGATGATGCCATCCTGGAAGAGGTTTGTTCTGAGAAAGCATGGGAAACTTGTTTGGTTGGGTAGAGCAGGAGACTCCCTGACCTTCTGGCCTCTGGGTTTCATGGCATTCTGTGACCCTCTGTCCCAGATGCATCTCTGGATCTATTGTCAGGCCACTTGAAAATATGTCATCTGGTAATACCAATCCTCACATAACAGAGCCATAACCAGTTACATGTGGGGCCAGAGGAAGACCACACTGAGTAAAATCAGGTTACAATGAAAGCAATTCAGGGTACAGTGAAAGCAATTCAGGATGTGGGGATGCACACCTATAATCCCAGCACTGGGGGAGCTGAGGCAGGAGGGTCTTGAGCTCCGAACAAGCCCGAGCTACCTACTGAGACGCTATTTCAAAGAAAAATCTAAAAATTAATAAATATCAGCTATGACTTTCAGTTTTGAAAGGAGAAGGGCCAGAGTGTTCATCCAGCCTATCTACTCAGTCACTCATTCATTTAACAAGGATATAAATGCCTACCATGTGGTGGGCAGTGTCCTAAATTTGGAGACCTCAGACAGTCAGAGACCCCTGCTCTCCTACAATCTAGATGGAGGAATGGAAAAAATAAGAAATTGTGTAGAGGATCACGCCTGGGATTTTGCCCCAGGAATTACATAAGCCTATGAAAACAGGACCTTGTACAATGGCAATTTTAAAGACAGAATTAAAGTTGCTGAACAGGTGACCTAAAGATAAAGCTAGTCCTGGATTATCCACAGGGGCCCAGTATAGTCACAAGAGTCCTTACAAGGAGAAGTCAGCAGAGAGGCACAACCCAAGAGAGCCTTGACCAGTCTTACTGGCTTTGAAGGTGAGGAGGCAACAAGCTATAAGGAATGCAGAGGCCACAGCTGACAGGCATCAAGTAAACAGCAAACCCAGTCTTAATTTCCAAATATTTCAACAACCTAAATGAGCCTCAGTCAAAGCCGATAGAAAAAAGAGGCCTGGGCAGCAACCCCCTATCTTCTGCCTACAGGACCTCTCCACAGAGAA